AGAATGAATGCCCCCAGATGGCCACCGCAGGTGAAGATCAGCATCTCACAACATTCATCACGCCCTGGAAACGGTTACACGTACAAACGAGTCCTCGAGGGACTGATACAAGTGGCGACGAGTTCTGCGCGCGACTAGGAGACTAGGCTCGGGACGATGTACCACGGACTTGCAAAGTCGTGGATGCCATCCTTGCGCATGATGACGACTACGCTTGCTCATCCAGACCACGTGTGGACGCTACTGGGAAGTGTGGATGAAAACGGCAGCACATCGAACCCTGCCCAGGGTGAGGTTCGCCAAGACAGAGGTCGAATCCTGCGGCTATGTGCCCGAGAATCCGCCCGCGGCAACCGACTGGGCCGACCGGGTCGACCGGCGGCACGGGAGATGTGGTGCGGTGAGGTGAAGACATGCGGAGTAGACGCATCTGGGCGGCCACGCCAATAAAGCTGCCTGTTGCAATGTTCCAATGTTTCACGGAGGCATGTCTTTGCCGGTGGGCGAGTTCTGTGCAAGATACGACACGAAAATGGTATGATGTAATGATGATTTAAATGACAATGTAAGCCCTTAACTCAGGACCTTCGTCCGTCGGAACACATTCAGATCCTACGTCGTAAATGGACTGGAACGCTCTTGCACCGGCAATACTGTCGCCATCCGCAGCTGAATAGTTTAAAACTGGGCTCGATCACTGGGCTGGCATCAACATACGACACCCCACACTGACCACATCGTTAAAATGAGGTAGTTCGGTTTAACTACACTCCACCACGCAAAGACCGCGATCCACAGGCAAGTGGCATTTTAATTTAATTTAATTCGTCACCATTGGGTAATGTAGGTAATTTGAAAGTTAAGTCAACAGCTTGTTGGGGGAACTGATGACATAAACCCAATGTTTTTGGCATTAACCGATCCAAATACGGTTTCGGAACCAGCTGGTTTTGCCGCATGTTGTCAACGGGTGTCTTAACAAGCATGCAGTCGGGCGACTTGGATGTTTGTACGGCCCCCAACACATTTTATTTCCAATTCCCAGCTGAGCACGACAAAAATCAGGAAAGGCGCGCACGACGCAAAAAAGATAAGCGGCCCACGACAACACATACAATATTCACACCACTGCCCGCACGAATGCAAGTGTGGCGCAGCCGCTGGCAAATGCTGTGCGAGAATTGGAATCCTGCTGGGGAAACATGCCCCGAGCCAATAAAATCCCACTCACATTTTGCGACGGCATTCACGAAAAACACACTACATTCCCCGTTGGGCACAAGCTTTGTTCTGCTTGGACAGTACAGCAGCTGAATCCATTTTATACAAGAGACTGGATCCTGGCAGGGCACAGGCCGGGCTGCGCTGCTGCCAGATCCGTTTTACTCGAGGCCCCGATAGATTGTTAGCTGTGGAGGGGGGAGGGGGGGGGGGGGGCAGCGCGGCCAGAGTATTGGTAAGGTGGGCGTGGGACGAAGGATTCGCGAAGGGCATCTCCTAATGAAAGGCCCTCCCCCCCCAAAAAATCCCCAGATATCGCCCACCCAGTTTTAGGGAGTACGATTTTCTTCTTTTTTTGGTTACCATGTACCTTCTGTTACTGAAACAGAAACCAGAAGGCACCGAAAGATGCAATTCTGTTCGCATTTTGAAGACAATTAACTGCAGGAACCTGGTGCTAATTGATTACTTGGAAAAAAACGCCGCAGCTTTTCATTTTGCAATAGTTCCGTCACTTTTCCTTAGCCGATGGCACTCATTGAAATGGAAACGTTGCAATAAAATGGGCAAAATGGGAATGGTTCGTCTGGGAATGTTCAACCTTTGCTCAAAACTGAGCAGTGGAAAAATTGTAGAACAGTTTTCAGCGCAGATGATAGTGGACGTAGATTGTAAATGGAAGTGGTGTCAAACGTTGCATTGAAATGGTCAGCCCATGGTCGCCCAGGCATGTTCAACCTTGGTTCAGAATTGAGTAGTAAAAAATTACATTTTTGTTTTGACCATGCCCATTCGTCAGTCTTCCAACAAAAAACCCGACGTCCGGCGTTGCAGTCTCCGTAAGCCGCGCGGCGTTGGCCCGCGGGTAACACTAGACGGTGGCCAGCGGGCGGGCAAACAAGATAACGCTTCCGAGAGAAGCAGCTGTATACGTCCCGAGGATATACGCTGTATCCGAGGCACTATCAAAACCACACTGATGAATGCCGGCAAGTTCGATGCTTCTTGCCAGCGAAGACGGCTAATAACTTGTCGCGTTTTTGGGTCCTAGCCGGTTTGTTTTGAATTGAGACCGTTATATACCGAATGCAGCAGGCCCGTCCGTTGTGGCAAGTGACCGAACTGTACTCACAACCGAAATGAATCATTGGTCTGAGCCAGGACCGCAGGCACTGATGTCTTGTCGAGCCTGCAAGCATACCTGCTCCGTAGACAAAAAGGTGCTTTCGCACGATGTGCATCTGATATTCATGTCCAACTCTTGACTAAGGCTGCTAATCTAGAAATCAGATCAATTTTTATTATCAAATAGTACGAATACCACAACCGGGAGATATTCTTGGCTCTTCGCCTGCTCATCACTGGGAAGTTTGAAATTAAAACACGAGCGCACAAACGTAACACTAGAATCCTTAATGCATCGGTGAAAGCCTACCACGGCCGCGCAGAACGATCGGGTCACAGACACCAGTCCCGCGCAGAGCAGTCTCGGCGCGCGTCCAGCCCGCCTTGGCTTCCACTGGTCGCCCTGCCGGGGTGCAATTCGAATTTGGTCGGCGCCCTGTCGGCGGAGCGGGCGATGCTCCGCGCCGGCGCCGGGCCGCGTCGGCCGGGGCGCGGCCGCGCCGCCGCCGCCGCGCTCAGCGGCTGACCTGGCGCTGCCGCCGCGCCGCGCGGCCGGCCGCGTCGGGCGGCGGCGCGGGCCGGGCGGCCCCACACACGGGCCACATCAGCAGCCGCGGCGGCCCGCTGCCGTCGGCCACCCACGGAGCGGCCCGCACGGCCGGCGGCCCCGGCCAGGCGTCACATCAGCAGCCGCGGCCGGACCGGCGTCGGAGCGCCGCACGGCGTCGGCGCGCGCCTCGTCGGGCGCGCTCCAACCCGGCGCTCACGCAGCACTGTCGCGCGCAGCGTCCCGGCGCGAGCTTGCCCACTTGTGAAATTCATAAAACTCGCCCGCCGGCCGGGCCGTCGGCCGGTGTGTGGGGCGACGCCAGCGACGCGTCGGCTGGTCCGGTGAAACAGGAGCTAGGCTGCGCGCACGCCGACTATTCCTCCGTGCTGGGCGGCTCCTCGACCGGCTTCTCGGCCGGCTTCACCGGCTCCGGCTCCGACTCGGCCGGCTTCTCGGCCGGCTTCTCGGCGTCAGCCGGCGCCTGCGGCGGAGCAGAGCGACGTCTTGATCACGGGCACCACTGGCGCGCACGCCCACATCGTCAACAACAGATCCGAGGGTAGAAGCCAGCAAGGCCGAAGCACTGAAGTATTGGTGGACATCGGTTTAGCGCCACAGTGGAGTGTTTCCGAAAGACGACTGAATTCAGCAAGTCAATAAAAAACACGTTTTTGGTTGCTGGAATATGACAAACATATTTTTTAGCTGAGCAGTCGCAATATCAGACTTCGTTTGCGAGCCGAAGGTGGTAACAAGCCTCCGTTTGGACGGTGCCTACCCCTCCCTCTAAAAAGAATAAACTCAGTACCGCAATCGGCGACCGTTCGAACCGAGCCATGTATCGATATGATTCTCGCGTCCAGCTGATGTCGTGAACGGTCACCTTCTGTGGGACTTGGCACTCACCTCTGGAGCCTTCTCTTCGGTCGAGACTTCCTCCTTCTTCTTCATCTGTCGCGGGGGCTTCCGCCTCTTTCTCGTCTGTCACGGGAGCCGCCTCCTCTTTCTTCTCCTCCACGGCAGGTGCCTTCTCCTCCTCGGCAGCAGGCGCCTCCTTCTCCGTCGCCGGCTCCTTCTTCTCTTCCACCTCCTCCTTTTTCTCCTCGGCCGGCGTCTCCTCCTTCTTCTCCGCCGCCGGCGGCCGTCTCCTCCTCCTTCTTCTCGACCTTCGGCTCTTCCGCCTTCACCTCGGCAGAAGCATCCTGCCAGACACAATACCATGTTTCAGCATCGCTCAAACATCATCACTGCGGCACAACCGAATCAATCCACATTCGTCGACAATACAAAACGAGACACACGCATCAATAAAGCCAGCGATATCAAATGCCAAGAGCCATGTGATGCCGACAAAATATGACCCCCCCCCCCCCGCCCCACGAGCATAAAAGTCGCCGCACGAGGCCAGGAACACAGGCGCGCTTGCCTTCGGCTGATATCAAAGACAGGAGGAATGGTGGGACCAACGCCGGGTCCGGGTCCAGATCAGAGCCGGGTCGATCCCATCGCTCCTCGACCCCCGCTGGCCGGTCGCGGGCTGAGCGAGGCTCACCCAGGGGTGCGCTAGCCACTCGCGCCACGAGGGCTGTCGCGCACGCCCGTGCCCCCAGCCTGAGCGGCTGGTCAAGCGTCACTGCCTCGTGCGGAAGAGCGGTGTGCGACGTGTGGATCTGCCTCTGCATGTGTTCGTTGCTTAGGGACGCATCGACGGACGCGGCCATTTAGGATATTTTTGCTCACGCAGCTCCTGTGAGTGTTGGAGCCCTGGATCCTCGTCAGCCCTCCTGACCCTGATCCGGTCCGAGGGTACCGGACAATCGTGCAGCACGGACGAAGCTATCTGCTCGCGGAGTACGACCATACCGAGGCCGCGCGCAGCCCGCGGCTGGGCCCCACCCTCAGCCCTCCGCGGCCGTCGCTCTCAGCGTCAGGCGGCGGGCTGTCTGGGACCGCGCCACGCCCGTCAACAGCTGCCCCCGACGGCCGGGCGCACCGGCAGCGGTCGACAGAGGTCCTGACAGACGGACCTGACAGACAGGCCTGACAGATGATCCTGACAAATGGTCCTGACAGGCGGCCCTGACAGGTGATTTGACGAACCGCCCTAGCAGATGACCCTGAAGTTGATCCTGACAGACGGCCCTGACAAATGATCCTGACAAACGGCCCTGACAGATGATCCTGACAGACGGCCGTGACAGATGGCCCCTGACAGGCGGCCCTGACAGACGGACCGTCCAGCGGACGCGGCCCGACCGGTGGTCGACCAGATCCTCAAACTGCGTGAGATTTCGTGCTGCCACAACGTGGCATTGTGCCCCGTCAGCATGCCGGAACGTGTCTGTGTGCGGCGCCACGGCCGTTCCTGCCTGTGCGGCGGTTCCCCGCACATACGGCGTCCAGACACCACGTGGGTCGAGGACGCCGCTCTGTGGCCGGGGTGCCCGCCGGACCTCTGGGACGCAGCCGGCAAGCGTCCGTCCCGCTCGTTCACCGCAATAGTCCACAGACGGCCGAATGCAGACGATGACGACAGGGGAGCGGCCCCATTAAGCGCGGCCGCCCAGTGGGAGCGCAGCTGGGACCCAGCCCGAATTCCTCCGCCCGCTGTTTTTGGCCCAGCGTCGGCGACAAAAAAGCGTCACCAGCGGCACGGGGCGCGCCAGATCGGTCGGCAGGCAGCCAAAGCAATTGGAGCAGAGAGTTGGCGGTGGTTAGCTCGACACCACCACAAAACTGGTCAAATAGACCAACTGACTGGACAAACGAAAACGAACGGACAATTCTCTGTTAAGGCTTAAAGGGCTTCGAGGAAAGAAAGAGTGTGTGAAGAGTGTGAAAAGAGTGTGGATGTGTGAACTAGTGAAGTAAACACTCGAGCTAATGGAAGTGTTTCCGCTTCTGCTTTTCACACCATCAAAGACGAACTGTTATGCACCATTTATTTATGGTAAGTGTAAGGAGAAGCGTACCCTGCATAAAAATCGGCAAGTCTACAACAAGAATATGCACACTGGCTCGAACAAAATAACAAATGCACGGCCGTATTTGGCCGCGTGAACTACAGGACGAAACGGCATGCTGGCCGTGCACGCTAGGTCATATGCTGACTGTGCACACTAGGTCATATCCCAGCCGGTGGCGAGTCGCTCCGGCGGCGCGCCCCCTGCGCGCTGGCGTCGTTCATCCGCCTCGGCCCTGCCATCTACGCGCAGTTCGCTTGTCGAACCTCAAGGCGACTGAGCGCTGCACACAGGGCGTGGGCGCGCCCGAGGCATTGGCGTCGTGAGGCGAGAGTCGAGAGAAGAAGAGGGCTTGGCCGCCGCTCGGCGCCGAATGAACGACAATCAGATGACGCAGTGCAGGGTGTAAGTTTACCTCGGCCAGCCGGGGCCGGCATCGCCTCCCTCCTTCGGCGCCTCCGCTCTGGCGGCGCGCCGGCTTCCTCAGCCTGCCACAGAGCAAGTGGCGCGTCAGTCGACGGAAACTCCCCACCAACTGCTGCGCAAGCACGTGACGAACACCCGCGCCCGCCGCACCAGCCGGTCACCAGCTAGCCACACTCGGCACAATCGACGCAATTCCGAATCGTTAAATCGAGATAATAATGATCGCATGGGTCACCAGGCGCGCATGCACGGCCCGCAGATTCAGCGGGCGGGGTTGGGGGGAGGGGGGAGCGGGCGGGGCACGCACCTTGGCCTCCTGCGGGGCGGCGGGCGCCTCCTCGGCTGGCTTCTCCTCCGTGGCGGCTTCCGTCTCCACCTTGGCCTGCCGGACAGACGGCGCCTGTCAGCTGTCGGCCGGCCTCACCTCTGGCCGGTCCGGCCTCACGCCCACACACACACGTCTGCCAGGGGCCGAGGACAGGCCGGCCCCGACGCGGTCTGCCGGCACGCACGGACGCGCCGCCCGGGAGCCGGGACCGCCGAGTGTCCCAGAACGGCCGTCACCACCACAGCACAGCACAGCCCCCAGGGCGCTGGCGAGACCCACCGGGGCGCGGCGGCCCAGGCGCGCCAGCAACCAGCGCCAGCAGTCCAGGGCCGGCGCGGGCGGCGGCGGCGGCGCGAAGACGGCCGACGCCCGACGCCAGCCGCCAGAGCCAGAATTAGACGCCGATCGACGGGAACCGTACGTCACAGCTGAGTCACGTCACGTGGTCGACCGGAGACCGGAAATAGGAGGTCGGCCGGCTGGCCACACCCCCTTCGAGGGTTCATCACGGGTCGAGTCCGGCCAGATGAGGCAGAGCGGCTGTGAAGCAGCCCCGACAAAACCCGGGACCAGCACGGACCGCGCTGGTGAACCGAAGGTGGTGAGAGCGCTTCGCACGCCCGCACGGATGACACCTCCGGCTGGTCTCATGAAGTGTGTGCGGAAGAGACACCACGCTTATGCCGCACAGTCTGCGTGAGCAATCTCGAAATCATGCAGATGACAGCAGTGCGAAGCAACAGACCGGCCATCGAAATATCGAGTGCCGTCGGGTCCAAAAGCAATAACACGCACACGGCACGCAAGTCGTATGTGAGATCGAAAATGACATGATAGCAGTCATCACTTCAGATGAGAATGTCATACACATGTAAGAGGCTCAGAAGATGGACAAACACGCCGTAAGAAGCCAAATATGATGGACAAACGTGCCAAACACGCATGCGCTCATGACTTCAGAAGAGAATGTGACACAAGCGTAAGAAGGTCAGACGATGGACAAACATGCCGTGAGAGACCACCCGTCCTTTCGGAAAGAAAGGGACCGTTGAGGTAAATGTAAAAATCACTTTAAATTTCAGACAGCGGATAAAATAAAGAACAAGTCAGTGAGATAAAGCAAGTTTTCTGGTGTAGGAACTGACAGCAAGTTCGGACATAGCTCGGTGGGTTGGATAGCCGGTGCCCGGTGCCGTGACCGATGCCTCGTAACCGGCGACCGGCGAGGCGACCGGCGACTGGCGACTGGCGACTGGCGACCGGCGACCGGCGACCGGTGCCGGACGCCGCCACGCTCCGGGCGCGGGCTCACCTCAGCCGGGTCCGACATGGCTGGCGGGGAGTGAGGTGCGGACGGCGGGGAGGCAGTGGGTCGACTGCGACGCGACTGAGGCCCAGCTCGGCCCCGGCCTCCCTTATAAGGCCGCCGGCGGCCGCGGCCCCCGGCGGCCCCTGCAGCCCGCGCCGGCCGAACCTCCGGCCGGCCGGCCACCAGGAAAGACGGGCAACACCGACGGACGCCCGCGGGCTGTCACGACACCGATGCTACGGTATCGGTAGCAAAAGCTCCTGCCCACAGGAGTACTAAGACATCAGTCATACGCGGCATCACTTATACTGCAAAAGCTTATACAGACTGAGCTTATACGCGACATTACCTCTACCTCAAAGGCTTATACACGACAGGAGTGATACACGACAAAACTTAAGTTTATATTCATCATCACAAATCTTTACGTAATAAGTAGTGTTCGCTTATATGCGACATTATTTCTACTGCAAAAAACAAAATGTGCGAGCAACACGATAAAACTTACGCTACAAAATAGTCATTACCACAGCAAACACTTACACTTCTACAAACACTTCTATAGCAAACACTTCTACCGCAAACACTTAGTTTTGTCGAGTAGCACTAATGTCGCGTTTAAGTACTTGCCGTAGGAGTAAAATCGTGCACAAGCAATGATTATATTTTTTTGCAGTAGAAGTAATGACGAGTTTAATTTTTTGAAGCATAAATTTATCATGAAGCAACCAATGTCGCGCATAAGTTTTGGCAGTAGAAGTAACGTCGGGTGTAGTAGTGGCTGTGTAAGTATTTGCAGTAAAGTAATGACCAGTATAGGTTTTTGGCAATACAAGTTTGTCGCGTAACACTTTGTTCGGTCTTTGTTGTAGTACTAATGTCGCGGAACCGCGAGCAGGCCGGAGTCGGTAGCCCACCGCTCCAGGCATTCGGCACCTCGCAAGAAAGACATAATTTTAGCTACGGTCTCGTCACATCAGCTCAAAACTAGTGAGCCGACAACCAACATCGGCGTCTGTTGACATGAAGCGGTCCGCTGTCCAGTGGGTTCTTCAGTCACTGGTGTCTGGGCGCAGATGTATGGCATGCCGTGACGTCACTGGTGTCTGCGCGCAGGTGTATGGCATGCCGTGACGTCCACTGTGTCTGGGCGCAGGTGTATGGCGTGCCGTGACGTCACTGGTGTCTGCGCGCAGGTTGTATGGCATGCCGTGACGTCACTGGTGTCTGGGCGCAGGTGTATGGCTGCCGTGACGTCACTGGTGTCTGGGCGCAGGTGTGTGGCATGCCGTGACGTCATCACTCGCCTGTTCAGCCCAGCACTGGTCGGAGCCCCATACCTGCATCTGCCACGTGCGGATGCGCTAACGAGTCATTAAGGACTGCACGTGATGAATACCCGATCATGTGATCCATACGCACATTGGAGTTTCTGTTTAATTCGTTTTCGGCTTGTGGCTGCCAGGAATTAAATGAAAGAATGGAGATACCAATACAGCCACTTTGACGTATGGTATCTGGGCGCTGGACCAAATGGAGCTGCCAGTGTAATACGATTTGTCCGCTTTCCCGTGTCATGGGATTATCCTGGTGCTATAGCAGATGTGAAGAAGGGGGATTTATGCATGCCTCGGCAGGTGGTAGGAGACAAATGTTGCTGGCGTGAAGTACGAGATCCCTTAAAAAAAAACCATAAAATTGCTTAAAGGAAATGATTCCGCATTTGAAGGCACTGAAGTCAGCAACAGGCAAGATGAAATTAGCTCACTTATAACTACTGATATACTTTTAAGCTGAAAAGGCCGCTCTAGTCAACACAATTAATCCGTTTAGTAATATGCTCATCAATACGTTATGTTTGATTACCGCCATCACACCTTGCCGCAACCTTGATTCAGAGCCGATTGACGGGCCGCCATAGCTGGAAATCGTGCTTACGAATGCCACATAAGAACTCAACAATTAGTTTTGCTCGGCCTGGTCGCCGCATGGCTTAAAGAAACTGCAGGATTTGAATGGCGTTATGGCGTCATGGGCTCCCTGGGTGACCTTGAAATAGTCTCCCAAAAAGTCTGCACACCTTCACGGACGTGTAGCTCAGAAACTGGACGGGGTTAGGTTCTAAGAAAGGGGATGTAAAATGAAGCGAACCATTTCAAGATGCCCATTTCCGCTCAAAAAGCCATACCAATGTGAACACTCCCAAGCGCTCGCAGCATCCCTCCGTCGGTTGGACCGTACTTACGTCCTTGGCACGATTATTTGCCGATTATTGCCGATTATTTGCCGCCTCACGATATTCGGGTGACGCTGGGTGAACTAAAAATCATCGTTCGGCATAACCGACGAGATTTATCCCCTCTCATCCTGTCCGGAAATGGTCGTGCTAAAACCGAACACCTCGGCAGCTAGTGCCTACGTCAAAAGACCCATCCCGCCCGCGGGCAAAGCGCATACAGACAGGGAGGGCTCCCAATACAGCCTACTGCGGCCATGCCAAGCGCCCGTGGGGTGCCAACAAGGCTCTGACCTGGGCGACCAGAACCCGGAGGTGCAAGGCAGGCGAAACAACAGCGTAAAGTGATGGGCTTAGAGCGTGCACGCACACCCCTCAGGATTGTCGTGCGCAGTGATAACGTTAAAACGACCACGACATATAATATCTCGCCAGGACAATGGCCTCCTGTCGTCGTTTTCAGATGGATAAGATGGTTCGGAAAAGTGGGCTGCCTGGTGCCTTCAGGTGCAGACGCAGATGCAGACCATGCAGACCTTCATCGCAACCGCTACGAGTCGCACCCCGTTCAGTGAGGAGAGCCTTCGCGGCGACAGAGGACGCGTATTTCAGGGTCGCACAAGGCGCACGACTCGACCAAAGCTCATAATTCATGCAGCTAGTTTTATAAGCGACATGCAAATGACTCCGACACCATGGGACGGAGGTGATCCTTCACGAGAGACGCCGAGCCGCATACTGAGCCCGTGCGGCGCCCTGCCCACGGCCAGACCAGGAGGCACGGCGGCGCGTCCGATCCGGATGTCGGCCTGAACGGGACGCCACCCGTCGGACAAGACCTGCCTACGAGGCACGGAGGCTGCAGCCTTGGCTTGGGGTTCAGGGCCTGACGTCCGCTGCTGGCATGGTGAGCCGGCGAGGTCTTTGGCATTACTTCAGATTCGCGTCCAAGAATTACCGCCTTCGTAATCACAACCACGTCTGAAGCAAATACTTGAGGGTGTGATGCATTACCAGCATTCACGAATGCACATTTTTTCCTCCTAAAGTTCACCAAGGCAGTCTGCCTATTCTGCAGGCGCCATGTCGGATACGGTCCTGACCACTCCCAGACTAGCGGCTGCATTCTCAGCAGAGGCGCACGACAAGCAGGCGGCTGGCCGGGTGGGAGGCGTGGACCGCGAAGACGCATGCCCACTGATCCAGAGCAGGCGCGGCCAGTATTCATGACAGACGAATATGGAACACGCGAGCTTCATTTTTGCCTCCTTTATCGCGACTCGGTGCTGTAGAAAGCGCTGGTAAAACACAGTAAATAAGGAATCGAAAACCACATGCAGCATATTTCAACGTCACGAACACCAACTTGTAAAACTCGTCCTCGACAAGCTCGTGGCAATGCGACTCCACGCCACAGACCGCGCCGCCTGGCAGCACCTATTGGCTGTTGGCATGTAACCCGGGCACAGCACTCGCGGGTGTTTGCGATGTAAACGGGGCTAGAGCACC